CATGTGTTGACAAGGCAGCAGGTGTCCTGGGTCCCAGCTCAGCCCCCATCCTTAAGCCACAGTGTCCCCTGCTGATGGAAAAGACAAGGACAGCCATGGAGAAGGCATCAGTAGGCCTCCTTGCCCTCCTTCTTCCCTACCCCACGGCCTGTTGCCCTTCTTGGGGAAGGCGCCCCCAGCTGTCTGGACACTCACCATTCCCGGAGAGGGAAGAGAGCAGGCCCGGGGGCTGAGCTCAGTCTTTACTGCTTGCTAGTTATCTGCCCTCCAGACGGATTGAAGGACTGTGTGTATCTGCTGCTGATTCGATAGGGCCTGGCCCAAGCCTTGAAGGATGGGCAGATTTCACAAGGGAGGGCAAGTAGGTGGGAGGACCCTCTTCAGCAAAGGGGGAGTTGGGGAAGGCCCATCCTGAGAAGGGAGGATTCATATTTGGCTAAAATAGGACATTCCTTGGGTGTTTAGTGGTGGAATAATGTGAGGGTGGGTTGGGGATGTGGTATAATGCAGTTCACTGCCGAGTCAAGTACGCTTTGACCCAGCAGTCCCACTTCTAAGAATTTATCCCAAGGGAACAATCCTTATAAGTGCACAAAAATGTGTGTACTAGGCTATTCAGTCACAGCAATATTTAAGAAAAGGAAACAGCCTAAGTATCCTAGAGGAGCAGTGATATGAAATATGGTGCATCTAAACAGTGTGTTATTTGATGTTTATTAAAAATGATGATTTTATTTGCCTGATGGGAATGTGTTTATAATATCGTAAATAAAAGAACAAGTTATAAAACAGATTGTAATCTTATTTTTATAAATAAACATTGTTATTCGTATCTAAATTTATGGGCAGAAGAGAAGTTTATAACAACAAAAATGTTTGTCTTAATTATCTCTGGGTTTTAGAATTACAGGTGGCTTTTCTGCTTTGTTGTTCTTTTCATTTATATTTCCTAATAATTCTACAAGATGAATATGTTTGAAATAGTTTTTTAAAGTTAAAAAAACTGCCATGCCAAAGGCTCTAAACCTTATTCCTAAGGTGATGGAAATTAAATTTTTATAAATTGAAGCCGGTTAAAAGCCTCCTTGAGACCCCTCTGGGCACATGAAGACTCCATTGATAAAATGGCAATTTGTATCTCTGCCTGTGTTTCTCTTATAAATTCTGATTTCTGAATGTTGCTTTCCTGTGCAAACATGGTGAGTTCATACATTAAGAAGAACAGCAGATTTAAGCCTTTTCAGGTCACTGTGACCTGTGGACAAAGGATGGTGCTTTTTGAAAGTATCTAATTCAGGGTGGTGTTTTGTAAACCAGGAGAGCAACCAGATTAATCTTAGCTAGTAAAATTCTAATAAAGGGTTGGGAGTGTGGCCCTGTGATGGGTATTTTTCTGGTTTTTGTTTTAGACAGCAAACAGTTGGGCTTCAAATGTATCCTGGGGTTCCTTAGCTGAGGCCCAGCTCACATCTGCTCCTGTGCACTTTCCTTACAGGAAAACCTGATCGGCGCCCTTTTGGCAATTTTCGGGCACCTCGTGGTCAGCATTGCACTTAACCTCCAGGTACGTTTCAGTCACTAGTACTGTCAAGGGCAGAGGTAGCCGAGGCGCCAGGGTGTCTGGCACAGGCCCAGGTGCCGCCTCGCTGTGGGGCGTTGCCTGCTCCATCCCTGGGCCGGGCCTGGGGCAGTACCACGGGGGTTGTTCCAGAATCGCTCCTGATTCGTTGCCCCCTCTTCAGCCTCTCATCGTCCCTCTTATGACAGTTCTCCATTACTTAAAAGCTTCTGGGCGTGCCCTGCAGCAGCTCTGTAGGGCGGTTCTGAGGTGAGTTCACAGGTTTCTCGGAGGGCCCCCAGTGGGACCGAGCCCCGGATGCCCACGGCACTGGGTCTCCTGTTAATGCACTCTCCTTGGCGCTCCCTCCCCTGCCTCGTTTCCCCACTCCCTACATTGTGCTTCCTGGAATCATCTCCCAAAGCAGCTTCCTGTTCCCAAGTACTTATCTGAGGGACTTCTGAGGAACCCAGACTAAGACTCGGCGCCTGCGGACAGGATAAATCCTACTGCGCCAGGCTGGCTTCTCCCTGCCCACACCACCCAGCCCCAGCTGGGGTGCACCACTCCCCTTCCCCGGAGCAAGCATGGGAGCACACGTGTACCCAGTACATCTCGGCTCCCGTGCATACACGCGTGGGAGTGTTTCTGAGGTCACGTGCTCTTAGCTACCTGCCCGAGTTCATGCTTTTCTGCCTAGAAAGCAGCATGGGTGCCTCCATGGGCTTCTGTGCGGTTGCCATCATGGTCCTCCCCAAACAGCAGCCTTGGCCCTCCAAGTCAGCACGACTTCCTAGCTTTCCTTTGTCACTGCTTCAGTTTCTATGCCCCAAGTTCACATTTCCAAGACAAGGAAGATTGGCCCTACTTGGGCCAGTATCCAGCCAAGGGAGGGCAGGGTCCACTGATACCCAGAGGGCTGCCCAGCAGAGCAGCCTGTGCTTCTACAGAAGGAGGTGTAGCCGAGCCAGCACCCCAAACACTGGGGCTCCTGGGCTTTACAGGGAGAGGGAGAAAGCCAACCCAAGGCCAGGCTAAAGGAGGGTGGCCTTAGACCATGGCTTCCACCCCAGACTGCACTTAGTCTGGGATCCAGGCCTTACCCACCTCCCCTGAGGCTGACTCTGAGGAAGAGGCATGTGTATGTTTTCAAAACTTCCCAAGGAATTTTTAAGGTTTCCCAGCCAATTTGAGAGCTTCTGTCTTAGGATAACCATCTGATATTTAGATTGCCACGGCTTTCTTCCTTGAATAAGGACTCCAAAAAAACCAGACACATCTTCCCAAATAAAAGTGGGGGTCTAGATTTAGGATACATGCATCGTAGCATCTTTTCCCCCAAACATCTGAGCAAATCACATTCTTTCTTGGGTTTCTAGAAGTACTGCCACATCCGCCTGGCAGGCTCCAAGGACCCCCGGGCTTATTTCAAGACCAAAACGTGGTGGCTGGGCCTGTTTCTGATGCTGCTGGGCGAGCTGGGCGTGTTCGCCTCCTACGCCTTCGCTCCACTCTCGCTGATCGTGCCCCTCAGCGTGGTCTCCGTGATAGGTAAGGCCGCAGTCCCCCAATCCCGCGCCCCAGATGCACTGCCTGTGTGGCCACAGTGTCACTGCCAAGATCAAACCGGCTTTTGCTGTGATAATAACAGCTAACACTCACAGAGGCTTCCTACACATTTGGTTCTGCTCTAAGCATGCTACAGATATTAATTCTTCTAACCCTCCTGGCAGCCTTTGGCGAGAAATACTGTTATTATCCCCATTTTACAGATGAGGAAACTGAGGCACAGAGCTGTGAAGTTACTTCCCCCAAATCACACAGCCAGTGAATATCAGGGTGGAGTACAAACTGGACTGTTTGGCTCTGGAATCTGTTTAAGATTCAGAAAGTTTATCAGAATTGCTCTTTATTTCTACCACAGAAGGGAGATAAACTTTAACTAATTCTTCCTAATACCATTAAGAGATAAGTTTTCGCAGAGGTCAGGTATCTGATGCCTCTAAGAAATGCACATTCAGCTTATATCTGAGCTTTTTGCATCGACTGATACCATCTTAAAAACATCATCAGTTCCCTCATCTGCCATTTCCCTGTAATTTCTGTAATTGCAGTACCAGTGTTTTGGAGCATTCGAACCAACTAAAAGACAAAGGCTCTTTAATGTCTATGAGGCCAAATAGAGTAGGATTGAAAAAAATTTTTTTTAAATAAAAGATGTAAGCAGGGAAGGAGAAGAATAGATGTTAGTAGATTAGTAAACAATAGCTTTTTGTACCAAGGAGCAGGGACAGTTAACTTGCCTAGAAGTGTTTCCCACCACCAAGCACTACAGTGCCTAGAAGCTCTTCTCTGCTCTTAAAAGAAAAAGTCACATTTTGAATGTTGTTCTTAATGGAATTAAGAGAGCTTTTTCTACACCAGGGGTGGCATATCCGTGGCAACTATGTGCCCCTCCTGTGCCCAAGGCAGACATCATTAATCAATCATTGCATTCTTCTCTGGTGAGCCTCAGTGGGGCTCAGGATTCTCAGAGCTTCAGGCAGTCACTACCAGTTACCAGGAGTTGGCACAGAATCGGAAACCCATTTGCTTTCCCTGATCCTATTAAAAGCCCCTCTTTTTCTTGACCAGGGTTGGCCAACGGGAAGCCCACCAGGTGAATGAGGTCCTTGGGCATGCTGTGTTCTTTCCCACACAGTACTGTTTTAAAATATAATTTGAATGCCTTTAGTTGAGGCATATAGTCTGTCACAGTCCCAGCCTTTCCCTGCTGTCTCACATCTGGCCTACTTTGTACATTTATATGTTGCCCAGCCACTCAGGTATTTAGGTTTGTCCTCTGCCCATTGCTGAGCTCTCCAGAGGGCACTCAGAACCTCTATTTGTAATGAGGAATAAGTGATTGAGAGACTAAGGACTTTAAATCATAGTCTTTCAATTTTAATAAGGATCAAATAATCAAATTCTTAAAAATAATAGGCTGAATTATAACGATGAGACTTCAGGTATCAGCCACTGGAAATTAAGGGGCTCTTAGAGCTTCTTAAATCACCCAGTGAAAACTAATTATTAAAAATAGGTAAATATTAATAACCACTGTGTATTGGGTACTTACTACTGATCAGTCACTATTGCAGGCACTTTAGTAGCAATGATAGCGCAGTTCTTGAGCACT